CATTTTGTCTCTATTATTGAGAAATAAGTCCAGTACAGCTGACCCTCTAGTTCCCTACTCTACTTTTTGAGTGACAAAGTTGTCTGCTAGGTTCATTTGGAACCTCCTTGATCTTTCACTAAGTGCAGAGTTTCTCTACCAGTTGATGGTAGAGAAACTATTACTACTGTGGTGTGTATTCTGCACACCTTAGCTAACTGATTAGTAAAATGTTCATCTATTTCCCCTACAAGTAGTCCTCAACTTTTGACCACAATTGAGCCAAACATTTCTTTTTTTTTTTTGAACAAATTTTATTAATTTTTAAAGACATACAAAACATAAATACACAGAAACACAAAACATAAAAGCATAAAAAATCTCTTTTCTGAAAGTTGCTTAGTCCCGGGTTAAAACTCTTGATACAGACACAAATTCAAATTCATATTCATTTTATATACCATTCCATATCTTGTTAGCATTTTCAATTTTCTATATAACTTCTCCTCTCTTTTAAATTTTCTCAATTTTATTTTATTTATCTCCTCTCAATTCGAATCATAATATTTATTATTCTTTGTCTGTTCTATTTCCAGCTATCCATTTATCTTTCTTCTTTGAAAAAAACTTCTCCTGTACACTAAATGGAGTATGATGCCTTTATCTCTTTCCCCTATATTTATAATACTTAATATAAAACACATAACTTACATTGGGATTCTGTCTGGTACATTCTAAAATTATACAGTATTATCAAAACCAATACAAATCTATTCATTAATATTGATATTCATTTATGTCTTAAACATTTAACACATTATTTTTCAGTTAAATCACATACTTTTATGGGAGCACCTATTTTCCATAGTTATTCCCCCCCCCATGTCACATATTATAAATCATTATTTCATTACAATGTTCCCCTTTCTCCTACTTCAAATCTCTCATTTCACAAAAAGTTTCACTAGAATAACATAGTCTAATCATTAATATTAACAATCATTTATATCTTAAACATTTTACCCATTTCAGTTAAATATCATGCCTTTGTGGGAACACTTATGCTTTCCAAAATTATTTCCCCCCCCACATCACATATCTTAAATCATTGTTCCATTACAGTACTCCCCTTCTCTTAACAAAAATTTCACTAGATTATACTAAATATTTTATCGCATTTTAAATTACATATTATTTCTAATTTTCTATGGTTATTTCTAAATACAAATATAGAAATGCAATCTTATGTACCTTTCTAGAATCCCTTTTTCAATAAAATTTATCCATTATCTCTAAAAAACTTTTGCTTCTTTACAACTTGCTCCCCACTATTAAGGCTTCTCATCCCTTCCTTTCTCCCTTGCTTCTTCTTCTCCTTGTCCTCTTTACCCCCTTGTCTCTCCACCTCCCTTTTATTCTGCTTTCCCCCTTTCTGTTGTTTCCTAACATAATGTCCCCTTTTCACCTTATTCTTTTCTTCTTGGGTTGCTTTTCCAGATCTTAAGTCTTCTTTTCCTTTTTCTCTTTCTTTTTCCCTTCTCCGACCAAAGTTATTTGTTCATCAAAGATGGCTTCTTCTTTGTCCCCATCATCCTGTTGCTCATTCAGCTTTACATAAGTACAAACCACCATTTCTAAAAATTGAAAAAGAATGCCAAGGACTTCTTCCCCTTCTTGCTTTTCTTTTTCATATTTTTGGTATACAAGTTTCAGTCCATCCACAAGTGATGCCATTGTGCAGAGAAAAAGTTTTCCCAAACAACCACCCGAGTGCTTTTAATCAGAAATAGTTCTCAGAAGTTCCAAAATCACCAAACAATCCAAACAGGCTATTTCTTTTAAATACTTTCTCCTTCTTCACTTTCTCTTTCTGGGGTTAAAGTTTAGTCACAAAATTCCCTTTAAAATATCTCTTTTAGAAGTCTTATTGGTGTTTAGTAACTCTTTACAAATCTAGGCAATCTTCTCCTTATTTTCAATTGCTCCAATTTTTTTTTTCTCCTCTCCCTTCCCACTCACAGCCAAAAAGATTTTTTCCATCTGCTGTCACGTTAGGAAGGAGAGTGAAACGAAAGGGGAAAAAAACTTTCTCTTTTAGAATGTTCGCAGCTTGTAACTCTTACTAGGAACAATGTATCCTTAGCAGCCTTCAAGATTCAGGGCACTTTCTCTTGCCTTGTCCCAGTTGAAAGCAACTTTCATTACTCTTCCAGTTTTCTCCCTCCTGCACCTGCTTGTCCGGCTGTAGATTTCTTCGTGGCGGCCATTACTGACCGCCGCTCGTCCGTCTTGGGAAAAGGGGGTTTTGCCGGCTGGGGAGGGGGTCTGCGACCCCCCCAAACCCCTGTCTGGATCCCCCCTGTCTTCAGCTGCCTCTACGGGGCAGCTATATCCCCCAGATCCAAACGGATCGGGGGAACCTTGACGGCGAACGCAGCAGGGATCGCGCAGTATCGCGAATCCCTGCCGCTGCCGAAACCTGCAAACCGGAAGTCCCAAACATTTCTGATACTAAATAAGAATTTTGTTAAATGAGTTTTGCCCAATTTTATGACTTTTCTTGTCACGTTTATTAAGTGAATTGCTGCAATTGTTAAATTAGTAACATGGTTGTTAAATGAATCTAGTTTTCCCATTGAATTTGCTTGTCAGAAGGTTTTAAAAGGTGATCACATGATCCCGGGACACTGCAACCATCATAAATGTGAGTCAGTTGTCAAGCATCCAAATGTAAATCATGAGACCATGGAAATGCTGCAACAGTCTTAAGTGTGAAAAATGGTGATAAGTCACCTTTTTCAATGCTGTTATAACTTCAAATGGTCAGTAAGTGAACTGTTGTAAGTCAAGAACTACCTATATTTATTTGAGTATACAGTATACACCAGAATAACAGAGTTGGAAGGGACCTTGGAGATCTTCTTATCGAACGAACCCCTTGCTCAAGCAGGAAACACTATATCATTTCAGACAAATGGTTGTTCAATCTTGTCTTAAAAACTTTCAGTATTGGAGCACCCACAATTTCTGGAGCCAAGTTATTCTATTGATTAATTCTTCTGCCAGGAAATGTCTCCTTAATTCTAGGAGAATAATTTCCATCCATTGCTTCCTGCCCTTCCCAGTGCTTTGGAGACTAGGTTGACCCACTCTTCTTTTGGGCAGCCCCTTAGAGTACTGCTATTATATCGCCCATAGTTCTGTTCATTAAACTAGACATATCCAATTCCTGCAACAATTTTATCCTCTAGTTCCTAATCATCTTTGTTGCTCTTCTCTGTATTCTTTCTAGTCTCAACATCTTTTTTATATCGTAGTGACCAAAAGTGGATGCAATATCCCAAGAATAGTCTTACCAAAGCATTATAAAATGGTAAGACTTGTTGGCTTTTTTGGTAGGTGCAGCATATTACTGGCTCATATTTAAGTGATTGTCCACTAGGAGTCCAAGATCCCTTTTGCAGTTACTAATGTTGAGCCACATACCATGTATCCTATACCTGTGCATTGGTTTTTCTTGCCTAAATGTAAAAACTTACTTTTCTCTACATTGAATTTCATTTTGTTAGCTAGGTCTGTCAAGTATCCTTCAGTATCTTGAGACTATCTTCTGAAGTATTGGCAATGTCTTTCCTTCTTCCTTTTAATCCAAATGCATTAGATAATTTTTCCATTGGTTTTTTTCCCCTTTTCTATAGAGGTGTAGCCATTTTTTATATATAACCCAACTCTACCTCCCCTTTTATTGGGTCTGTTTATTTTGAACAATATAAATCCTTCTAGCTGTACATTGCAACACTGGTTCCCAACCTTTGTGGCTTGGTAACCTGGCTGGAGTGGGGAGTGCAGAGGAGAACCAGGCCACGAGTGGAGTTGTGCGTGCATACATGTGTGTGCCAGTCTGGCATTCATTCAAATGGAGTTGTTCATGCATATGCGCGATGGCCCACAGTTTGCACGAGTGGTGCTGTGTTGCGCCAGTCCTCTCTTGCACAGCCCAGTTCCAAATAGTCCACAGTCTGGTAGTGGGCCATGGCCTGGGCGTTGGGGACCCCTGCATTACAGTCATGGGTTTCATCTCACCAAGTTTTGATAATGGCAATGATACCACATCTGCTCTCATGTACTAGAACTTCAAGTTCATCCTGTTTGTACCTGATACTTTGAGCCTTAGTATACAGGCATCTGAGTCCTTTGTCATTAACCCTATGTTTGCTTCCTATCTTGCTTGAATATCGTTTAACCAATTTTGCAGGAAAAGAGACTCAAGATTTTTAAAAAATCTGGTTTGCTCTTTCCGATATGCTGAATATCTTTCATTTTTCCCTTAATTGTTTTGAGTGATCAATCTGTATCAGTGGTGGGATTCAAATTTTTTTACTACCGGTTCTGTGGGTGTGGCTTGGTGGACATGGCAGGGGAAGGATACTGTAAAATCTCCAGTCAGAGGTGGTATTTGCTGGTTCTCCGAACTATTTAAAATTTTCGCTACCGGTTCTCCAGAACTGGTCAGAACCTGCCGAATATCACCACTGATCTGTATACAATACAGTTTTTCACCTCTTTCAATCCATTCTTTTGCTCTTTCATTTTTTAAAATATTTTCTTTCTGTTACGTTTTGGTTTGGTTTTGTACTAAGAGTCATTTTCATTCTATGAATAAGTCTGAAATAGTATGGTATTAAGCATGATAGTATATTTTTTTAATTATTTTAATATATTTTACATAGCATGTTATCTATTTTTAAAAGCTATATGGTAATGTATTAGTACTGTGCAGAATTTCAAAAGGATGGTCTCTTCAACAAAGAATTAAATCTGTTTCTCAATTCAATGAGCACTTTTGTAGAATTAGTTTAATAGTTCAATCACTTAATCACTTAATCAACACATGAGAATAATTTAATTGTTACTGGTTGTAATGTTTTTAGTTGTAATGTTGTACTGTTATTTATAATTAGTTATAACTGTAGTTGTAATGTTTGTTTTAACCTAAATACTCCTGGTATTTACCCTTTCAGCCCTCCATTCCATGTTTGGCCCAGCTGCTCGGAGAATACTAGCAGTAGCACATTCCCACAGTGGAGTGCCAGCAGTGCATCACCCTGCCCAAACAGAGTTTCCCCCAATTTATGAGGAAGCCATACATATGAATAGCTTCACAGTGGCTCAAAGTGAAGAAAGAACCCCAGATTTGGAGCTGATGCCAGAGGAGAAACGGACATAGATACTGAGAAAGAAGTCCAGGAAGCACATTCCATAGACAGCCAAGACTCCCAAGTCAGATGATCAGCAAGTTTTCCAAAGAATTAATACCTTCACATAGATATACAGCTACTTCATATGCTCCTGTTTTTCCAGAACCTCATATCATATTTACCAAATCCTCTATTTTTAATACTATAAATCTAAAAATGTGTAGAGCAAGAAATATATTGCATACAATGTGCTGATGCACATATATATTTGTTAACAACATGCATCAAGGAACATGTTTGCAGAAGTTTAAAATATATTTCTGAAGTACATCTATTCTTCTAGATCAGGGGTGTCAAACTGGATTTCTTGGAAGGCTTGATCAGCATTGTAGTTGTTCTCCACGGGCCGGCTGGTGGTGGTGGTGGGAGATGGGATGGATGGCCTCCTGCAGCACCCTGTCAGGCAAAACTAGTTCTAGATCTACTACTTTCACACCTAAAAGGTATTCCAGCGTGCATCATTCACTTTCTAAAACAGTTTTAGGGTTTTCACAACAGTTCCCATACAATGTTTTTAGTATAATCCACGGGGCAGCCCTGGATCCAGCAAGGGGCCAGCCCTGCCGCCTCAGCCCTGCTCCCACAGGAGATGGCTAGGGCCCAGGGAGCGGGGCTAAGGCAGTGGGGTGGTTCCTTGCATGCTCAGGGCTGCCCTGTGACCACGTTCCGGCCTGGATGTCAGCCATCAAGTTATAGATTAGCAGCCATCAAGTTATAGATTCCTGGGCAATCTGTGCATCCCATTTTTGGCCTTCCTGGCCTCCAGAAGCCTTCTGGCCAAAAATGGACCCATTTTTGGCTTTCCCCCACCTCCAATACCGCTCTGCCTTATCTTCCAGTTTGTCAGATCTCTAACAGTGATACTGCCATTCAATTGGGAGAAGGGGGGCTTTGAATTCGATTCATTACTATTGCTTGTGACAACTATTACTTTATAATTTGTATCCTGGTGCCGAAGCGCCCTGAGATTTTCTTACCTCTTGGGGAATGTAATGAGCCATGTGGGTTGTTTCACTTTGAAAGCCAGCAGAAGATGGCCATGGGAATGTATGTTTATCTGTTTCTCAGAGCAGACAATATAATAACATCTTCACACCTGTGGATTGGCTAAATCCACATCTGGCTAAAGGGAGGGGCTTTAATTCTACTTGTCTTGCCTAAGGATATTCAGACTCTGCTTTGAATGCTTTCTTTTCACTTCTGCTTAATAAAAGATTCCTTTTGAAATACTTCAGTTCATACTTACACAGTTCCAGCTTGCGAAGGTAAGTCTAAAACTCGACCAAAAGTGGGGGGCAAGTGGGTGGACGGGGCAATGTGGGCAGGGCAGCTTTGTGGTCCTGTGTGGACTGGATTATTGGCTTCGGTGGGCCATATCCGGCTCGCAGGCTGTAGTTTGAGGACCCCTGTGTAGAGTGTTACTTTCCTCTTCACTAAATGCCTCTGCCAAGTCTTGGTACTCTCTGGGAATCTGGAGACTTCCCGGCCGCAACTTAGACTTTTTCGCCCTCTGGCTGACTGAGTGATCCTTCCCCCACAGGGCTGGCAGCGGGGAGGGGGCCTAGTGCCAGTTTTATTTTCCGGTAGCCATCTTCCCATGAAATGATGGGTCCCCACTTGGCCAGCCAGGCCAGGCTTGGGATAACTGTTTCAGTCATTTTTGTCACTACCACAAACCAGATGAGCTCCCAGTGGTGACCCATTTCCAATCACATGGGCTCGGTGACAAGGGTAACAGGGGCTCCTTGGATTAGTGACCCATCAATTTGTTCGAAGCATATGTTTTAGGGGCCTCATTTGGAATGCCTAGCTTCTGACAGTGAGAGGCTGATCAGGCAACTAGGTGCATCCCATGTCTATGACAACCTCTACCTTGCCCTGGGCACCAGTAGTCTTGACTAAATAGTGAATGGACAGATGGCTTTACTTACCATCAGATTGTCTTCAGTGTTGTTGTTGCCCACAGCCAGCAGTGGAGTCTCCCGAGCCGGAGTTCCCCCTCCCTTTCAGGGGAAGGGGGTGCTCAATGGCTTGATGGACAAACTTTCTCTTTTCCGTGGTCTTCCATGGCTTTTTGGGCTTGACTGGTGCAGGGATCCGTGTTTAAGGGACGGGGACAGTGCCAGGTATTCTGACACTCAATGGCCTGTTGGACACAGCAAAAGCATTTGATTAATGTTGTTAAGGTCCCCCTGAGCTGCTCTTCCACTTGGCGGGAAATTGATTGCCAAGTTGTCTCCTGGGCTTCCTCTCTGGTGTCTCTTTAGGGTGTCGGGAGCTCAATGTTAATGGCCACCACCATCTGATACCAGTCATGGATGTGGTCTGGGACACCCCCGCAGATGCAATTGTGCAGTTCCTTGTCCAAGCCCTCCTTGAAGAAGTGCACTAAGAGGCACTCAGGCCACTAACACAGCTTCCCAGCAAGCCTCTGGAACTCCCTGACATATTCCTTAACTGGGCGGACTCTCTGCCTGATCACCTTAATTTTGGCCTCTGCTTCCTGGCCCAGAGCCATATCCTCAAATCTTTTCCTCAGTTCCTGCAGGAATTCATTGACATTCCCTAGCTCAGGAGTGCTTTCATTGTGCAGTTGGGTCACCCATTCTGCAGCCTCTCCTTGCAGGTTTTTGGTGATGGCTGTGATTATTTCCTGGTTGCTAGGATAATTTTCCCCCACAGCGGTCAATTTGAGCCCATACCCAATTCAGGTAAAAGACTAGTTTAGCCGGGTTCCCATCAAAAGTAGCTCAGAAGTGTGGTGGGCCGAGCTAGTGAAGGACAAAGTGGCAGCAGCTGAGGCTGGGGCAAGCACCCATTGAGCTTGAACCTAGCTTGGCCTGGGTAATAAGCTCACCTGGGTGGCACCTGCCAGCCTGACTGCTGCTGGGGTTATCCTGGCAGGTTAGGCTGAGCTGGAGGTGATGGCAGAGTGCTGGCTGCCTGGATCATAACATGGTAGACCAATGCCAAATGGGGAAACTCAGCTGTGAGCTAGACTGTGCCAATGGGAATAGTGGGAGAGTCACAGTGAGTAGATTGGTCCCCTGAGGAGGGAAACATCAAAGTTGGCAGGTTCAGGGTGACTCTCATTTGTTCGGTTGATAAGTCTGCCCGTTGCCTCAGAGGATCAGCTGCCCAAGCCTCTCTGGCAGTGACCCCAGGATTTGGTGGTGGGCTGTGGTATGGTACCTCCAATCACCAGCTTAACTGAGGTCCAGAGGGACTGTCAATCTTCACTCAAGGATCATTGTCCTGGCCTCCCATGTTGAGGTAATTGGACCCACTCCCACTGGTGTCTGGAATGGGTCCTGGCTGCTGACCTCCACCTGGTAGAGCTTCTGAGTGGCCAGCCATTTGGAGCGGACTTTGGACCAGGTGCCCACCTGGCATGCAATTTCTCCCATTGCTTCTTCCACTCATTGAATCTCCAAGGGGGTCACTGGGCTTTCCAGGGCTCCTCTCCAAGCCCTGCAGGCACCCATGGCTTCTCTGATCTTCCCTTCCATCTTCCCTGAGTCTTCCTGCTGTCCATGAAGACCAGGTAAGCAGCTCTGGCTCAGGACCCTGGAAAGCAGCTCTGGTTGGTGTTTGGGATTTAGGAGAGTCGGTTTAATGTCAGGGTTCCAAGTAATAAACCCATCGAAAGCAAAACTCTGAGGCAGGTAGATACCTCAAAGAATAACTTTATTGGATAAAGCTATTGCACAATATTGGCACATATCTGGTGAAAACTGATTCTGGAGGTTCCTGCAGTTTTCACCTAATTAAAACTAAAATTTTGTCAATTTCTCAAAACAATCAGTCACATGGTCCAATCACATTGCTGTCTAGTTGCTTGGTGACATTACTCCGCTTTCCTCTGACCAGGTGTTAGAATGTCCTTGGTTTCCAAGAGAAAGTATTTTGTTTTGGCTACAAAATCCCAGCTATCTAAAATCCCTCCTCCCTATCCCTCAGCTCCAGTGTGACAACATGAAGCAGTCAAGATGGCTTTGGTAAGGCAGCTTCAGGGTTGACACTACATGCTGTTGTTGGTTTCTGCTCATTAATAAACAGGGTCCTTCTTTCCAATCAGCGTCCATTTTATTTTAGCGCCTTTCTCGCAGCTTGGAACCAGACCAGATTTTTCTTCCAACAAAGGCAAAACAGGCAACAATATATACAGTGGATACAACAATGAATGCATTGGCTTCATTCCCCAATCCCATGATTCTGTATTTTGTTGAAGGTATGCTTTCCATGGTGTTCACGTTGATAGCTAATTTTGCAGACTAGGAAAGTGCAGGTAGTGACAAAATAATATTAGAAGAATTAAAGTAATTTGGTAGAAAAACCTCTAGCCTTTGATTATTATTATCTAAGCTACCTTACGGATACCTTAAAGTTTACTTTGAATTACAGCTTGAAAGAAAACTTTTATAGAATGATGTATCAATTGTATTTGACTCCAGATAAATTGGCAAGAATGTAAAATGGAACTTCCAACAAATGCTGTAATCAAACTCCAACTATATTTTACCATAAGTGAGGGTCTTGTAAACATGCTAAATCATATTGAATAAATATAGTAATATTATGCAGAAAAGACCTACAATGCAAATACTAATGAAACATGAAGGATAAATCAACAGAAAAACAATGGAATCTTATTTCTGTACATGGTGATAGCCACAATGTTGTATGTGCCAAATAATGGAAATAAAAAGGAATATCAATATCAGTGGAAGTACAGATTTTGAAATTGAATGAGTTGGTAAAGACAGCAAAACTAACTGGGTTGATTAGAGACAATAGTTTGGACAAGTTTTAAGAGACTGGAAGCTATTTGCAGAGTTTTTGTGAGTTAAATATAATGCTTTGAAGTTTATTTTGGAGGGGTTAACAGTTAACAGGAGGTTGGACTAGAAGACCTCCAAGGTCCGTTCCAACTCTGTTAACTTTCTTATAGTGAAAGGTTGACTTAATG